TATATTTAACATATTTCTTGTGTCTCAGAAAGTTCACTCAATTTTTTTAGTTTTTTTGATTTTTATTACTAATGTTAATTTGTAACACTATAGAATATGTAATGTGTAAAAGAAAATTAATGTTATTTTTTAACATAACTTCAAAGTTAATTTAACAAATCGTGTTGTGTTAATTTTATTTTTTTTAATGGTTATTTTAACCTAAACTAATAATTAATATGATTTAAAATGTGTATATCTTTACCATAATTATATATGTTAAATTTATTTATATTTTATTTATTTTACACAAAAAAGTGTTACTTCAACATATAACTTTCTATTGATTTAACACAAATAGTATGTCTTCATTTAATTTATTTAATTTGTTATTTTAACAATATTTTTTAATTAATTTTAATATTATTAATTGTTTATTTTTATATTTTGGGAAAAAAATAAAACATGTAAGTATGTAATAATAATGATTTATTATTCTACAACATATTTTAAAAAAAGGCCAGCAATGAAGCATTGGAATTCACTAAAATTGCACAGTCCAGTCCGTTTTCTTTGTATTCCAAAATAAAATATAAATCAATGTCATAGGGTAAACGGTCTTCAAACATTTCTGGGGATACAAACGATTTTAATCGAAAGAAGGCGAAAATTAGCGAATTAGACGAATAACATTTATATTTAAGTTAAATGGAATAAAAAAATACTCAATCGTTTTAATTTGATAAAAAATGTTTTGTACTCAAATTTTTAACAAATATTTTTGAGTTAGATTAACACTTGTTTAGGAGTAAGTATATTATTATACTACAATGTAAAAAAAATATTTAACATTCTTATTTGTGTAGGACCTTTTAACACATTAATGTTAAATCTTTTGAAATTTTAAGATTTTAATTAATATAATTTTTGTATCAAGTAACATATATTATTATAAACACTAGGAAGTTTATGTAAATTTTTACATTTTTTAATTTATTTTTTAAAAAAATTTTGTTCATTTTTAACTCTGTAAATTTTAATAACCAAAAAAAGAAATAAAACAGTTGTATTATTTACGAAGAATTTAAATTTTAAATAAGGTTAAATTTATTATCTAGTCGATATTCAAATGGGATTATTCAAAATTTCCATAATTAAAAAGAAGTATTTTTAGATTATTTTATTATCGCTTTGTCATTATTTACCAACTTGGAATTATCATAGGTATGTAATTATTAGGTAAATAACAGGTCGGCAAATAGTTTTACAATTATAAAATTGCGTCATTGCGTTTAATAATTGCTTGTAAATTATTTTTTATTGTTTACAAAATGTTACACGATTGCTATATAATTAATTTTTATTTAAGTATAATTTGGACCACTCAGAAAACCTTACTTTCTACTTTTAATAATTTTAATGCTTCGCGGAATTAAAACTTAATTAAGAGGATGAAAAAACAATTACCGTGCTATTTTTAAATATGCACCCAATTGAACTAAAACTGATAAGGCTTCGGCACTTAACTGTTTTAATAATAAAGCGATTTCCAAGCGTCAGAAGGTCACCTTGAAAACACTGAATGTTGATAAACCTGCCGAACAATGGAAGGGGAACGCAACCCGCCAAAACAATAGGAAATAAAAGCCAACAATAAAATTACAACTAATTTTTTTGCATAATATTAATCTCACTACGTCTAATTAAAGACGTAATAAAATTCAGGCGAGAATTGTCGGATTAATGGGCAAAATTCCCAACGCCAAGTGACTAATGCGTGCTGGATTTCGGCCAAAATTTTTCCTTCAAACGCATTTATTTATTTTGGTGAAATGGTTGTTCTTCTCGAATTAACGTGCAGGTTATTTTTAAACCGGCGATTGCAAAAACCCTGCCAGATGTGTAGAAACGTTATTTATCTGTCGTAGTAATGGATTTAGTGATTTAATCAACTTGATTATGGTTTAATTTTGTACGATTTTAGATTTTTTTTTCCTGAGCGAGTTTTTGTCTCAGAACTCCCAAACCATTGAGTTTAACAAAATCGACTTAAGAATATTTTTTGAAGAAAATTGAATGCTCTACAAAAAAGGTTTGATTGGAATTTCCCGTCAGATGAACCGTTTCCTTACAATCGTGCCTTAAAAATTGGTATAGTTTTACAATTTGATCTTTTAACTTTGGAATTTTGTAATTCATGTAAAAATCGGTACCCGAAAAAAACCGATAGATATTCTTATGGGAAATCAAATGCTCTATAAAAAAAGTCTTCTAACATTTTTGGCTAAATTCACTCCATCAAAAGTTATTCAAGGTTAAATTTGAAGTCAAAACAAAATTCTTGTTTTTTCCGCTCTAGATTTTTTTTTGGGTCAGTTAATTCTTTTGTCGATGATAATCTTTATGTTATTGATAAAATTACTGAAAATAAAAAAAATAACACATTAGAGTTTTTACGCTTTAAGAAGCTATTTTCTTTAGAAAATATTATTTTCACTGTTACCTATTTAATCGTTTAAATAATAACAATCATGTTGTTTTTTATTGGAAATTGTTACTAGTTATATAATACACATTTATAAAGAAAAAAATCAAATTATCACCCATAAAAAAATAAATCTACAGAGGAAAAACCAAGAATTTCGTTTTGACTTCAACTTTAACCTTGAATAACTTTTGATTGAGTGAATTTAGCCAAAAATGCTAAGAGGCTTTTTTTGTAAAGCATTTGATTCCCCATAAGAATATTCATCGGTTTTTTCTGGGTACTGATTTTTACATGAGTTACAAAATTCCAAAGTTAAAAGATCAAAATGTAAAATTATACCAATTTTTAAGGCAAGATTTTAAGGAAACGGTTTATCTGACGGAAAATTTCATTTTAACCTTTTTTGTAGAGCATTTAATTTTCTTAAAAAAATATATCTGAGTCAATTTTGTTAAACTCAATAGTTTGGGAGTTCTGAGACAAAAACTTGCTGGGGAAAAAAGTTTAAAATTGCGATGATAGACCTCTAAATATTAATATTATGGACTCAAACTTTCATAATAATTTTTTTTTCATGTTTGTTAATTATTTATATAATACACATTTATAAAGAAATAAATCAAATTATCACTCATAAAAAAATAAATTTACAGAGGAAAAAACAAGAATTTCGTTTTGACTTCAACTTTAACCTTGAATAACTTTTGATTGAGTGAATTTAGCCAAAAATGTTAAGAGGCATTTTTTGTAAAGCATTTGATTTTCCATAAGAATATTCATAGGTTTTTTTCTGGGTACTGATTTTTACATGAGTTACAAAATGTAAAACTATACCAATTTTTAAGGCATGATTTTAAGGAAACTGTTCATCTGACGGAAAATTTCATTTTAACCTTTTTTGTAGAGCGTTTGATTTTCTTAAAAAAATATTTCCGAGTAAATTTTGTTAAACTCAATAGTTTGGGATTTCTGAGACAAAAACTTGATGGGGAAAAATTTTTTAAATTGCGATGATAGACCTCTAAATATTAATATTATGGACTCAAACTTTCACAATAATTTTTTTCATTTTTGTTAATTAGTTATATAATACACATTTATAAAGAAATAAATCAAATTATCACCCATAAAAAAATAAATGTACACAGGATAAAACAAGAATTTCGTTTTGACTTCAACTTTAACCTTGAATAACTTTTGATTGAGTGAATTTAGCTAAAAATGTTAAGAGGCTTTTTTTGTAAAGCATTTGATTTCCCATAAGAATATTCATCGGTTCTTTCTGGGTACTGATTTTTTCATGAATTACAAAATTCCAAAGTTAAAAGATCAAAATGTAAAACTATACCAATTTTTAAGGCATGAATTTAAGGAAACGGTCCATCTGACGGAAAATTTCATTTTAACCTTTTTTGTAGAGCATTTAATTTCCTTTAAAAATACGTCACCTGAGTATTGGTTTGTGCTATCTCCATTTTTTACCATTTTGAGGTTTATGCATTTTCGGAAAGTTGAAGTTGATTTGTTCCATCTCCATAATAGTATTTTCATATAATTGTGTTAGTTTTTAGTTTAGGTTAGTCTAAATCCGAGTTTAGTATAAAAGGTTTAAAATTGGTTTACTCTATCTCCAAAATTTCGCTTACAGGCTTTCTTTTGCTCTATGTGTTTGTAAAAATCTGAAAATAATTAGTATTTGTTTGTGCTATATCCATATGGAAAAAATGTTTTATAACTGTTTTGTGCTATCTCCAAGGAAAGCTTCCTTATAAGTATAAAATTGTTTTGTTCTATATCCACTTTAGCCAGTACACATTTTTTCACCTATTTACATGTATATGACATTGTATTTTGACAATAATTATAATTATTATTATTAAAGTAAATCATTATTAAATAAAGTGTTTTTTAATTCAGTTTTGTTTTATGTCTAAAATCTAAAATCCAAAAATAGCACTTTTTGTTTTATCTCCAAAACGTTTTTTCCAATATTGAGGCATAAATCCAAATTTTAGATAAGAGTTGCTCAATAGAACTACTTAATTAAAGGCTAAACAAGAATATTGTTATTAATGTTTAATTAAGTTTTCATTAAAAAATAAATAGGTACTTATTTATTAAGATATTTAATGTAAAAGTTTCAAACCCATTTATCTCGATTAAAACATATTGGACATAGAACAAATCAATACTCAGGTGACAAAATATTTCCGAGTAAATTTTGTTAAACTTAATAGTTAATGTTGTGAGACAAAAACTTGCTAGGGAAAAAAATAAAAAATTGCGATGATAGACCTCTAAATATTAATATTATGGACTAAAACTTTCACAATATTTTTTTTTTGTCACCCCAAATTTACTTAAAAAAAATAGTTGATTTTTTTGGCCCAGCCTAAGGTATACCTATAGGTATATATGGTTGGTATGTTGACATGAAATGTAATTTCCGAGTTTAGGGGAGCCGTAGACGTGCCTGGGCTGCGTAACCGTCCAGAAAGGGCAAAACTCGCCTTGAATATCACTTGTTGCTTGATTTGTGGCGTTCGCGTTGGGTCCAAGTCGATCGTGTCGGTTCGGCAAATGCCGTGTTTCGCCGCATCGCCCGCTCAGTCTTTTGTGAACCGGTGTGCAGCACGGACGTTGCGTTACTTCAAGCGCATCTCAAGGACACTTCCATAAAGGATTATTCTACATTGCTCTAAAGTGCAGTTTTTGTGTGCTCAAGACGTTTTCAGTGTTTATTACTCCTGGTAAGTGTACTGCGACCCCGCACAGAGGTTATTTATTAGTGTTTCATTGTGCTTTCACTGCTACATACATGCATTCGTGTATACGTGGAACAAGACAAAACAAAATGGATTACGCCTCGCCTCAATATCCGTATTTTCGCTGATATTATCCAGAGTGTACGTGTTAAAAGTGTCTGTGCCAGCTGCTACACCCAAACCCCGCATTCCCGCAGTGCAATGGAGCTCTAAGTGGCCGCTCTATAAAACGCAAACACCATCTGTTGTGTGCATTATCAGTTTTAAGCAAAGCGAACTTGATTCCCGACGGTAAGACGTTTTTCGAGAGTGCTTACGACGTCGTTCCTTTGTTCTCTGTTTTGCTTTTCGAACGATGACGCCCAAATTAATTACTTTGAAAGTTTTCGACGAATCGATAGTTGGTTGAAACGCGCCTCTATTAACGGTTAAAAATAGGAATGTGGTTTTAAAATTAAGTTTGGACGCTGCTGCTTGGCATTTGCCGCACAACCCACGCAAATAAACGAAATAAAAACATCCTTCTCCCGAAAATTGATCGATACACATACCTACATGCATTATGGAAACACGACTAATTTATTTATCGCCTGCATCAAAATTAAACATTCATTAGCGATAGTTCGTTCCGATCGAGGAATAATGTACAGTTCATTCCGCTTGCCAGTGAATGTCCATGATTTATTTGCCTAATAGAGAAAATCATCACGCAATATCGCTTTACCAATGGGGGTCAGTGACTGCAAAATGCCGCTCTCTCTCCCAGGGACCGAGCTACGTAGCTATGTCTGCTAAATGCATCGCATTGTAGTTTTATGATGTGCCTCTTTTTTGGAGGAATTTATAAGTTTAAATTATTACATTTTCGATTAGGTAAATTAGCATTGCTAATGCCAATATTTCTAAATTTACATACCTACCTGATTAAAACGACATCTACATATTGGCAAATAACTTTTTTTTGAAATACATAGGTAGGTATAACTTAATATAATAATACAACATTATTTTGTAATACATGTGCCTCAATTAATTCCATTTATTATAGAAGCAATTATGTAAAATTTTCTAGTAAATGTTAGATTAACCGTTTAACAAATAAATATAAAACGAACGCTAAGAAATTAATTGACCATTACCTACCTATGTATATATTCATGCTTTAATGCTGAGAGAAAGTTGCATAAACAACAATCTTTTATTAACCGTTAACATAACGTAACAATTCACCAAATTCAAAGGTCGATCCGCATTAAATGAAAGAATAAAAAAAATGATTACAATCACTTCTATTATAGTCTAATTTTAACTTTATAAAGCGCAATTAAGATAATTGTACTTCAACAACAAAAGTTTTAATAATTTGTTATCACGACTTGAACTCGTGAGCGAACTGCGTATTTCGTACAAGCGGCGCCATCTAGGAGTAGAACGAATCAACTCGTGTGCTCAACATTTATTTATTTTACTTTCTTTACTTATTTATATTTACATTGATATAATAACTGAAATAATGATAAGATATTTTTATTACACGTTCTACCTAGATAATTATTTATTTTGCATATGTAAATGTGGTTGTTTATTTCCTATGACCTTTAATGACCTCAGCGGATTTTAATCACTAACAACGAACAATTTCAATCATTTGAAGCTTCTAAATATTTCCAATACAGTTTTTTTGTTCGTAAATGACATTGAGGATCGAATTTTTACCTGCTACCTTTTCAAACCGATGTTTTATTTTACACGAGGAACCTTTTCGAAAAGGGACTGCGTTTTATTGACATTTGGGAACTTTTGATTTGTTTTTATTGGCAATACCCACCCAACACAGGTCTGCAACCTCCTTGATTTCAATTCAAAATTTCTAGCGTGTAGAAAAATGCTCCATGTGATAAATCAGACTAACGGATATAATTAAAGAAGGCGAATTTCAAGTTTTTGATGCTCGCATAACCGGTCATCTGGGCGGCTGTAGTCGGTCATGGGCGGCGGGTGAAAGAGGGGGGGGGCTTGCCCAACGCCTCCCTCATAAATTATTCAACGCGGCCGGTTTTCATTTTTTATTTTTTATGTTTACAAACAATTATAGGTACAGCGCGCCATAAAAATATTAAAAACGTTCAATAGATGGATTTAACCTTTTGTTATGACTAATGATTGTATTTTTATCGCCGGATTTATCTTAATTGTTTTTTTCTACCAAGCCAAAACAATGGAATATCACAACTCTTTTGTGCTTTGCTGGAACAGGTTTAATGAAGCATTTTTATTGCCTAGTTTATTTGTAGTTCTAATAAATCAAAACCGTTAAATACTGTGACGAGTTAACAAGGTCAAATAAAGGACAAGTACAGTTTTTCCGTTGTCATTTTAGACCTCCACATTTTTTTTATTTATTTACGTTTTGAAAATTTATAAATAAATTCCAAATACGTAAATTGAATACAAAAAAAATAACTATTCCAAAAATAATATCAGATTCTAAAGTAAAAGAACTTTTAAGGGCAAAACTTCATTTTGATGAAATTATGCCAAATGCCACAATGGAAGAAAAAGTACATCGCCTTATGGACATTTTAGGAGTAAAAAAGTAACGAATTTGGTTTTATAAATATTACATCACACATTATTTTTGTTATTTTCACATTATTCACCCGCTAGGAATACTTTCCCTTCTGGGCCGTAAAGCAACCTATATTTAACTACTTTTTTATATGATTTTACTCATCCAAGCACCACCAAAGCCAAATTAATTGCATTTTTAACTACGAATTTCGACAACTCAACTTGACAACTGCACAATGTAACCTACAATAATTTATACATAACCACAATTAGATTTATAACTAGCTTAGTTTGTTTTCGTTCCGTATTTACCAACCAATCCCCTAAATTTGCAACGTTGCCGCACTCCAGATAAAAAAATGAACTTTACATATGTCGCTATGGGAACGGCCTTGGCGCATTGTCAGATAATAGCGCTGGTTTCCGGTCCCTGGGCAACAATGGCCAAAGCCCAGGCTGTAAACTCCATCTCTATCATTCGTATTGTTAATGTAATATCGTGGAGTAAAATAAGTAACTATACTTTAAACGCCGGATGTACAAATGCATTTCCTTCCAAAGTATAGGTAGTATAACATTGCTGTAGTACTATGTGAAACTGAATGCATCAACAATTTATAACTTTTTAAATACGAGTATTATAATATAAGTACAATGAACGTAGCAAATTAAATGTACATTTTTAGCATAAATAAATTGGAACCAAAATAATATGATGCAATACTTAATGACAAAAGTGAAAGTCTCGTATACTTTCTCCGTAATAAAGTATACCTAATTAAACTTTGGCACTGGTTTTTATGTCAAGGTGTAAATTAGTATTCATACATTTTCTATTTTAGTAATTTTACTTCCAGATCAACCATCATAAACTGAACCTAAAATTAGCAAAAACTCGCATGGATTTCTAAACATTTTCTTTAAATTAAATCGTGACTGAACTCAGAAAAATGTACATACACTGATAATGAAACTAATTTTGTAAGCGATTAATAAAATAATATTATTTAACTTAAATTTAAAATTGTAATGGCAAAAAAATGTACTTTTTTTATTAAATTTTCAACGTCTTATTTGCGGCAAAAACCTACGATTTGTCAAAGTAATGAGATTATTTTTATTCACAGAATAAACTTTTTTACTGTTAATAAAATTCTCATTAACTATAATGAAGCAGCAATGTTGATCTTTTATAAAAGAAATGTTCATCCAACAAAGTAATGTTGTTATCATATTGTCATGGCAATAAGAAATACTTTACGTTTATATTAAATCTTTGTCGAACTTAATGGTATATTATGTATCAAGTTTGATAAACGCCATTTTTTACACGAATTTAATTTAAATTAACGAGTGTATAGAAAAGTTTATAAAAGAGGTGCTATACTATACTTTTTCTACGACAAATACTTATTATTATCTTAAAATGATTTAAATCAAAAATTTGTATAGAGCGCCATCTATGAAACAATCTGTGTGTCACCGTCAAATGTCACATTTTTATTATTTTATAAACACAGATTATAAAGGTTAAAAATCGAAATGTTTTCCTTGAAAATTGACAGTTTTTCACAGTGAAAGAAAAGAAAATGTTTTATAAGCACTTTACAGTGGAGTCCGTGCCCGAATTTAAGCTATAGTTTACTGCCGGCGAAATTAAAAGGTCAGTACAATGTTCATATAAACTTTTCAAATATTGGCTTTGTATTTTTGTATTGAGAAAATAAAATAATTGTCACATTTAGTATTATTTTACAAGAAAGGAACTTTATTTTAACGATTGTATGACATTTGACAACTGTCAACTAACTTAAAACTAACTGCAGCCCGTGACTAAAAACCTGTAGCTAACTTCAGCCCGTGACTAAAGCGCCATAAAGCCTTAACTTGTCAATGTGTATTTAAAAGGTCACTTAGTGTCATGGAAACATGTACGATAAAGAGCGTTTTAAAGGTGGGAGTAGAAAAAAACTTTTTAAAAGAGAATTGAATTTTCCCTTAAAATTTTTCGGTAAAACAAGCCATTCTCTTAATATTTTGAAAAATATGTGAAAGGTGAATCAAGAAAAATTCTTAAAGGCTCTGTAAGTAACAATGGACCAAAAGGAATTTAAAAAAAATGGGAAAAATTCAAAATAAATAAGGAATCAAAATTAAGGGCTCAAACTTTATTTTCGATGTTTTAAACAATATTTTGGAGTTACGGTAAAAAAAACAAAAAAAGTCGTTTTAAATGAAACACCCCAGTATTGAAAAACTTTTTTGAAGAGAATTGAATTTTCCCTTAAAATTTTTCGGTAAAACAAGCCATTCTCTTAATATTTTGAAAAATATGTGAAAGGTGAATCAAGTTAGAGAAAAATCCTTAAAGGCTCTGTAAGTAACAATGGACCAAAAGAAATTAAAAAAAAATG